CACCTGATCAAAATTCAGACGCTCGGCAAGCGACGCATATTTTATGACGGTCACAGCGTCCCCAGGGTCACGCGATTTCCCTCTTTTGCGACCAGCAGACTCAACGGAGAACCGGATTCACGTAACAACCCGTGTTGCTAACTTGCTAACTTGCTTGCTTCACTTCATCAGTGCGGCAAGCAAGGTCGTAAAATGGGGCAAGACTCACTTAAAAAATGTCTCGCTTAGGCACAGAGATCTCAGGTCGTAAGTTGAGGACCACCTGCAAAATAATTTAGGGACGTACCTCGTAGATGGCAGAGGAGGCTTGGTTTGGCTTCCTTGGCTTGTCGGTTTGTTTGGTGTTCTTCCCATACTGGAACTGAAGAAAAAGGGGGCATAAAAGAGATAAATGATCAATCCTTACAAAATTCCACGGTAATGTCAGGACTCCAGGACTGAGGCATCTAATTCTGGGGTTCCCCAGACGCTCACCTTAAGACGGCAGTAGAGAAAAGTCAGGAGAATCCCGTAGAGGAACAGAATTCCATCCAAAATGTAGCACAACTGCGATTCTTGTAGAGCTTCTGCGGACACAAGAGGCCAAGGAAGAATTGCAATTTAAAAAATAATAATAATATACGTACTCCTCCATTTACCCCTGTTCGTTTAGTTCCCATTCTGGGAGATAAACATCCGTAAACCAGGAAAAGGGTCAGCGTCTGTAAAAACGTGGTTCTCTTTTCTTGTCAAGGGCTGATTTGGGGAACCCAGTAATGGCGCAATTTTTGAGGAAAACATTTGCTGGCGGCTTCAAAAAATGAGACGACAACCCAGTTGCTATGTGTTTGACCTCTGTCCGCGATCAAAAAAAACACTCTACAAAACCACGAGCCTTCGGTTGATTTCTGATGTTGCAAAGTGTAAAAATAGATTTATTTTGAGCCAAGAAAACCAGACCAATCCGTGAAAATAACAATCTTGCAGCATTTCTCCGTTGCAGAAGCCTGGGAGAATCCGTAAAAATCAAGATTCAATCTGTGTTCTGTCCACACGGGGCTGCGTGACTTTGTAATTTTGGGGTTCACACACACACACAAAGTTTGGCAAAGCCCAGAGCTATGACTTTAGGATATATAACAAATTTGGTTTGTTTTTTCCCCTGAGGTTCCCCAGGAGAACCAACACACCCAAGTTTGAAGCTTTTCATTGAAAATTAAATTAGTAATTGATCATATCCAACTAAAGTGTTAATTAATATTCAGTTAAATTATTAATCATCCGTCAATGAAATGATCACCCAATAACCAAATTATCAATTTACAACCCCTTAACATGTCAATTAATAAAAATCAGATAAATTATTAATCATTAAGCTGTTAACAACGGGCAAGCTGTTACTTCATGATGAACTAAACTGCTCTTTAATTATTAAGCGAACTATTGATAATTAATGGCTTAATAAGAATTAGCTGAATTACTGATCGTTACTGATTTTGAATGAATTGAACTGTCTTGTAATTTTATCCAAATGTGTTTCTTTAATTTATACCCCCCCCCAAAAAAAAATAATTCTTTTTTTCTTTCCTGCTGCCCCATCTTTGTGCAAGATTTTTTTGGGGGGGAGGTTCTTTTTGGGAAATTGCTGCCCTTGTATTTTTGATTAATTATGATTTGGGAGGGTCAGCCTTTCGAATTAATTACAGGATACATTTCTGTTTCGTTTTTCAGCAACCGGGAGTAACCCCCAAACACTGAAAGACTTTTCCTTTCAACTTCCTTTTTAAAAAGTCCCCTTCTTTTTCCTTTTTAATCCGTTTCCCCTTTAAAAAATGATGAGGGTAGCTGTTTCCCCCCCAGAATTTTCAATCTGCTGCATGAGTGAAGCCCAGTTTAATTTTGTTTCATTTAACCCAGGGGTTGCAGAAACTCTAGTTTTCCAGTTTTCAGTTTTTTTCAATTTTTATTTATTGATATCCTGCCTTTCATAATTTTGCAAATAACTCAAGGCAGGAAACACATCCAACTTGTCAACCAGAATTCACTCTGTCCTGGTTTCCAGGCTAGCACCCAGTCAAACTGGCCCTGTATGTAATTCAGATGTCACTCTGGGCCATCATTTTGAGAATCCAAGGGCAGCTTCTGGTCTTGAGAAAAAAAACCAACAGCTTTTCTTCTTTTCTATCCTAAATCAACGGCTCCGTTGGCGCAAGAATCACTCCCCGATGAATCACGATTTAAAAAGGATTTGCCTTCCCCTCCGAGCGTCCGTCCCTGATTAACCAAATCGCAGCTGTTTGGATAAATCCAATTTTTTTTTCACACTTTCTGCGCTGCCTCCAAACTTCATTAAAAGCACAGATGAGAGGGACGCCCTAAGTTAACACAACACTCTCTGGGCTCAAGCAGAGAGGAATAAAGAGGCAAAAAAAGATTGGGGAGGGTCTCTGGAAAGCTCCCTCGCAGGGTTGTTGAGAAGAAGGGCCTCTTCCAAGACCAAGAAGCGAGAAAGAATATTTATTTATTGAAGGCAAGACTCCCACCTCCCTCCGTGCGCTCCCTGCTCCCTTTCTCTCCATCTTTTAGAAAAAGAATTAGAACAGAATAGAATAGAATAATATATAGAGAGCAGAGTAGACTAAAATTAATTAGAATAGAATAGAACAGAATAGAATAATATATAGAGAGCAGAGTAAAATTAATTAGAATAGAACAGAATAGAATAATATATAGAGAGCAGAGTAAAATTAATTAGAATAGAACAGAATAGAATAATATAGAGAGCAGAGTAAAATTAATTAGAATAGAATAGAACAGAATAGAATAATATAGAGAGCAGAGTAAAATTAATTAGAATAGAATAGAACAGAATAGAATAATATAGAGAGAGCAGAGTAAAATTAATTAGAATAGAACAGAATAGAATAATATAGAGAGCAGAGTAAAATTAATTAGAATAGAATAGAACACAATAGAATAATAGAGAGCAGAGTAAAATTAATTAGAATAGAATAATATATAGAGAGCAGAGTAAAATTAATTAGAATAGAATAGAACAGAATAGAATAGAATAACAGAATAGAACAGAATAGCAGAGTTGGAAGGGATCTTGGAGGTCTTCTAGTCCAACCCCCTGCTCAGGTAGGATACCTATACCATTTCAGACAAATACTTGTCCAATCTGAACGGTAAATTATTACTGTTATTCTGAGTATTGGTGGTTCCAGTGTTTTAATTGGCCTTTCACGTTTGTAAACCGGCCATCGTTGCCTCTGAACAAACGAACAAAAATTGGGTCTAAATCTCCCAACTTTTAGCGGGACCAGTTTGGCACTGGGGTTAAGGCGCCAGCCTAGAAAACCAGGAGACGGTGAGTTCTAGTTGACCGGTTGAACTTCAATTTTTTTTTCATGCCTTTTTTTGGGGGGGGGAAAGCTGGTTAGCATGCCTAAGTTTCCAACGTAATCTCATTTCAGCTCTAGTTTACTGCTTTTGAGGTGGATGAAGGGGCTGTGATGCCCTCCCCAAAAACCCACCCCTTCCTTCAATTCCTTTTTCTCCCCGACCCCCAAATAGAAGAGATGGAGGTGGACTTTACCTGCTCCTTTGACCACCTGAAGAACCAGGACAGCCACCCCGAAAAAGTTCATTTTGGAGACGGGGATCCCCAAAAGGCAAAGAGCACGACGAGCGTCGGCAAAATCCGGTTGGGTCCCCAATGGTTTCGCCCCTCAATCAGGGGCCTTCAGCTCCACCACTCTGAGCTCAGCACGACGGGCGCAGCCACAAGACCACAAGTCTTCCTGCCGTGGGTGCGCTCTCCGGTTCTTCAGCTGACGGACAGCCCATCAGCGGAAATAATTGAGCTTCCCTTTTTCCAGCCGGGCTGGAGACACCAGCTTTTTTTTGCGGAGGAAGGGAGGACGAAGGAAGTGGGAATAGCTGGAAACATAATCTGGGAATCTGACTGATCAGATAGATCCCAGAGGGTTAGGGAGAGGATCGTTCCTGCCTGGGAATCGGATCCCCGGATGCTGCAGATCCGTCTGACCTTGAGTGACCTTAACGGCATTAACAAGAGTTGGAAGGGACCTTGGAGGTCTTCTAGTCTAACCTGCTGCTCAAGCAGGAGACCCTGTGCCCATTTCAGGCAAATGGCTGCCCAATCTCTTCTTAAAAACCTCCAGTGACGAAGGAAGGAAGGAAGGAAGGAAGGAAGGAAGGAAGGAAGGAAGGAAGGAAGGAAGGAAGGAAGGAAGGGATTACAGAATAACCAGCTTGGAAGGGACCTTAGAGGTCCTCTAGTCCAACCCACTGCTTGAGCAGGAGACCCATTTCAGACAAATGGCTGTCCAGTCTCTTCTTAAAAACCTCCAATGACAAGGAAGGAAGGAAGGAAGGAAGGAAGGGATTACAGAATAACAGAGTTGGAAGGGACCTTGGAGGTGCTCTAGACCAACCCCCTGCTCGAGCAGGAGACCCGTGATGGAGCCTAGCACGAATCCACATTCCCTTCTGCAGAAAATTAGGGGAAATCTGAAGACTTGAGAGGCTGAAAATAGGCAGGATTTAAGGCAGGGGTGTCCAACTTCAGCCACTTTTAAGACTTGTGGACTTCAACTCCCAGAATTCCCCAGCCAGCCCTGCTGGCTGGGAAATTCTGGGAGTTGAAGTCCACAAGCCTTAAAATTGGACACCCCTGATCTAAGGGGGGAAAATTCAGCTGCACCCGAGACTGAAAAATCACAAACTAGGTTTCTTGGGGAAAATTCAGAAACATACCCGTGGGGATGGAGACGAGGGGACTCTGGATGAGTCCAGGATGAAAATATAGGGAGGAAAAAAGCAGAAATTGGACAATGAATGTGTGTGAACCGGCTCTCCAGAGGCCATTTATTATTTGTGAGGTCGTTTTATTCTTCTGTTTGTTCACCTTGGCCTCCTGTCCCAAAGCCAGATTACAGCAAAAACAAGCACACAATAAACAGTAGTAGGATGCTGAGTGAAGATTCCTGATGGTGGGGGGGGAGAGATGGCGTCCGCAGCGAGGGGTGGGTTCCTATCCCGTCTCCCCCCGGGCTGGACACTGATTTATCTGTCCACTTCGCCAAAGACGATATCCTGGGTGCCTGAAGGAGGAAAGACAAGGAATAAATTACGTTTCACAACGTCTCCGATGTTGGGAGGTGGCTAAGGGTTTGGAGTTCCGATCCCCATCATCCCTGGCTGGCACGGCAGATGGACAGGGAGAACAGGAATTAAGAGGGTCAACCGTGTGACTTTCTTTGCCTCCTGTGGCTTATTTTGCAGTGTGGATTAATGACTCCATGCTGGCTGGGGGATTCTGGGAGTTGAAGCCCACCCCTCTTAAAGGATGCTGACTGGGGAATTCTAGGAGTTGAAGCCCACCCCTCTTAAATCATGCTGATTGGGGAATTCTGCGAGTGGAAGTCCACCCCTCTTAAAACCTGCTGGCTGGGGGATTCTGCAAGTGGAAGCCCCACCCCTCTTAAAGTGCCCAAGAAACACTCCACTAGGGTTTTGTAACCCTGGTTTAAGAAAGCCGCCCACCGCAGCTCACTCCGCCTTGGCGAAGCAAATTATGGTTAGCGCCAGGCTGGTTTGGGGGCTGCTCGCTCTGAAACTGGACTGTATTTTATTCCTTTTTCATCTATTGTGAGCTGCCCGGCCCTATCTGAAGTTGGCCAGCACCAAATCAAATCAACTGAATTAAATTGCTTTTCCCCAAGAAACAGGAGGAGAAACGCCGAGACTTACCGATGATGGCCACCACATCAGCAAGCATGTGACCCCTGGACATTTTATCCAAAGCGGCCTGGAAGAAGATTTTAGAGGAATGAATGCTGGTTAAAAAAAACAACAAAAACCCTTGGGGTTAGGGGGATGGCTACTCCGAGGCCAGACACTCTCCCTTGACCTCATGGAGGCGTAGACTATCAATCAATCAATCAATCAATCAATCAATCAGAATAGAGCTGGAAGGGACCTTGGAGGTCTTCTAGTCCAGCCCCCTGCTCAAGCAGGAGAACCTATCCCATCTCAGACAAGTGACTGTCCAGTCTCTTCTTAAAAACCTCCAGTGATGGAGCGTCCACAAACTTCTGGTGGCAAGCTGTTCCACTGGCTAATTGTCCTCACTGTTAGGAAGCTTCTCCTTAATTCCAGGTTGCTTTTCTCCTTGATTAGTTTCCATCCATTGTTTCTTCTTCTGGTGATTTGCAGAATAGGTTGACACCCCCCTACACCTTCTTTGTGGCAGCCCCTCAAATACTGGAATATTTCCACATTTCTCTCTTACCAAGTGTGCAAAGCCGGGCGCTTTGATCTTGCAGCGATAGGGACGGCTGCTCCCGTCAGAGACCAGGTAGACCCCAAATTCACCCTGCAGCAGAAGGAAATAAAGCCGAGGGACGAAGGATGTTAACTTCACTGAAATCCTCCAACAAGGAAAGAAAGCTGGAATCCAACTGAAAATGTTACCAGAAGCTAAGTAAAATGGGGGTTTTTTTGGCTTGCCAGAGGGGTTTTTATATTATCAAACATCTGTACATGGTTAAAAGGATGGATAACTCTTAGAAATAAAAGCTTGTTCTATTTGAAATCCTCAAACGGGGCTGGATCTTCGCTTGAAATCCTCAAACGGGGCTGGATCTTCGCTTGAAATCCTCAAACGGGGCTGGATCTTCGCTTGGAGGGCGTCCCCCTTATTGGGGAGACTTTTTTGGGGGGGGTCTGTGCCTAGGATTCACGCCGCTTTTACCAAAAGTGTTGTAAATAAATTCAGTATTTACCTTTGGAGCCTCAATGGCGGTGTAAGTGGCCCCGGGGGGCACTTGATAGCCCTCGGTGTAAAGTTTGAAGTGATGGATGAGCGCCTCCATGGAGGTCTAACGACGGAAAAGAAAGGTTTAAGGTAACCTCCGGATGCCCTGCTCCTTCGTGGTTGAATGATGGTTAAGCCCAACAAGGGAGTGTCTTAAAAAAGGTCACACATCATGGCAAGCGGGCCGTGACGTTTATTAAAACGGAGACGTTTCGTTCCTCATGCAAGCAACATCTTTGGTCAAAATGAAAATTTTCGGTAGGCAAAGAGCCAACTCTTGCCATACAGACAGCAGGGTGATTTCTCCCCAAAGTGAAAAGCAAGGTGTACGTGAAGATTCAATCATCCAGGCTAAAAGTATCTAAAAAGATTAAACCCTGGCAACTGGACCAAAGTTTATTAAACCTGAGAGGGGCCTAACAAGAGAAGGATTTTAATGGGGTGCGGAAAAGACCTTGGGGCAAGGAGATGGGTAGAATAGAATAGAATAGAATAGAATAGAATAGAAAATAGGAAATAGAAGAATGGAATGGAATGGAATAGAATAGAATAGAGAAGAGAAAATAGAATAGAGAATAGAATAGAATGTAAAATAGAACAATAGAATAGAATAGAATAGAATAGAATAGAATAGAATAGAATAGAATAGAATAGAATAGAATAGAATATGCAGAATGGAAGGGAAGGGAAGAATAGAACAGAACAAAACAGAAAATAGGGAATAGAATAGGGAATAGAATATAGAATAGAATGCAGAATAGGAGAATAGAATATAGAGAATATAGAATAGAATTAGAATACAGAGTATAGAGAATAGAATAGAATAATAGAATATAGAATATAAGAATGGAATGGAATGGAATAGAATAGAGAAGAGAAAATAGAATAGAGACTAGAATAGAATGTAAAATAGAACAATAGAATAGAATAGAATAGAATAGAATAGAATAGAATAGAATAGTTGGAAGGGACCTTGGAGGTCTTCTAGTCCAACCCCACTGCTCAGGCAGGAAACCCTATACTGTTTCAGACAAGTGGCTGTCCTGTTTCTTCTTAAAAACCTCCAGTGATAGGAAGGAAGGAAGGAAGGAAGGAAGGATGGAAGGAAGGAAGGAAGGAAAGCAGAATAACAGAACAGAGTTGGAAGGGACCTTGGAGGTCTTCTAGTCCAACCCCCTGCTCGGGCAGGAAACCCTATCCCATTTCAGAACAAACGGTTGCCCAGATAAGAGACAGCTGAGCCCGAGAGGAAGGAGGTCTTTTTTCGGGAAGAGACTCGACCCTACCTTCATCTCCGCTCTCTTTGGAGGCGAGACTTTGGCGTCGTCCACTTTGATCTCCCCTTCCGGCATCTTGTTCAAGGCCTGCAAGATGATGCGCAGCGACTGGCGCATCTCCTCTATGCGGCAAAGGTACCTGCGGGGAGGAGGGGAGACAGGGGAGGGCTTCAGAGGGGCCACCAGGGACAGGAAGAACTTCGGGAAAGTCTACGGAGATTCCCCGCCCTCCAGGTCCCGGTTGTCCCAAAGGTGCTTTTTTTTCAGGAGGCCACTGGACTTGTTTTTTTTTTCTTTGAAGACGTTTCGCTCCCCATCCAAGAAGCTTCTTCAGGTTCTGACCAAATGGTGGGGAAGGGAAGGATTTATACTCCTTGCAGACTGCTGGTCATTTGCCTTCTTTTGGAGGGTCGTTGAGGCCACTTGGAGGTTTATCTTTGTCCTCGGAGTCAGTTGAGCAGTGCAAATGGGTGTGGAACACAATCCTTTCAGCCGTTCCAAGAAGGATCCACACCCATTTGCACCCCTCAGGACACAGACAAACCTCCAAGTGGCCTCAACGACCCTCCAAAAGAATGCAAATGACCAGCGGTCTGCAAGGAGTATAAATCCTTCTCATCCAGGAAGCTTCTCCAGCTCTGACTGGGATGGTGAGGAATGGAAGGATTTATACTCCTTGCAGACCGCTGGTCGTTTGCATCCTTTCAGAGGGTCGTTGAGGCCACTTGGAGGTTTAGCTGTGTCCTCAGGGTCACCTGACTGGTGCAAATGGGTGTGGAACCCAATCCTTTCAGCAGTTCCAAGAAGGCTCCACACCCATTTGCACCACTCAGGTGACTCTGAGGACACAGACATACCTCCAAGTGGCCTCAACGCCTCTCTAAAAGAAGACAACGGACTGTTGAGGATTAGCCGTATGTGGTGGAAGACTCTGGGATAAGAGGGAGGGGCTGTGTCTCCCCAAACCGGAAGCACATGTCACGCCCCACCGGGCTTGCCATCCGCTGGCGGGGGTTGGGAACCCGCCCGGGGAAGCCAGCCGCCGCCGCCAAACGCCCCGCCGAAACGCCGCCACCGCCCGACGCTGCCCAGCACGTTCCCGGAAGCCCCTCGGCCAACGCACCTCACCGACAGGGCTCCAGCGACGACCCTCCCCCCCTCCTGTCTGCTCTCCGCGGCGTTGCCCGACGAGCCAGGGACGAAACAACCCAGGCCGCCGCAGACGGACGCAGGGGGAGCGCCAGAGGCCCCGTGTGACGGGGCGGAGCCGGGCGACGCTGCGCAAGGCCGAGCGTCCACCGAAAGCGCCGGAGAGGCCGAGGACGCTGAAACTGAGCTGGGCCAGGCCCTGAAAGGCTGCGGTGGGGTAGAAACCGCTGCGGACACCAGGGGGACGGCCAAACGGGCCGCCCCGCACCAGCAGGCCAACACACACCGCGGTGGAGCTCTGAGGCCCGAGCAGCAGTTGAAACCGGCCTGGGACTTTGGCGGCCAGGGAGCTGCCGGAAAGGAAGGCCGGGTGAGGCAGCGAAGCTTGACTGACTCCGGGCTCCCCGCCCCGACCTGATTACCCTGTAAATATTCGCGTCCCGCCTACGACCGAACACCAACCCCCGCCCCACTACCCCGCACCGTGGAGATAAATGTCGTGACCCTCGTTAGGTGAGGGTCACGACTGAAAAAAAGGTCCAACTTTATTTGAAGGCGACTTACGTGTAGCAAGGACGCAGGACCCAAATTTCTCGGACTCCATCGGATGGTGTGACACCATACCTGTCGTAACAGTCTCCGTTTGATCCGATGGGCACGTCGAACTCCACCTGGTCGTAGACGTCGTAAGGCTGGGTTTTGCGAAGATCCCACTGGATCCCTGACCCACGAAGCATCACACCGCTGGTGGGGGGAAAACAAGAAGCCAATCAACAGCCTTTCGCCCCCCGGGGAGGAGATCCCGGGATGAGGGGACACTTGGCAATGGAATGTGTCGGACGAGGGGAAGAGAGACGGCATAAGAGGCGGCCGAGCCCTCAGCTGTAGAACGGTTGGAGAAAGAGGACCAGAAGAAAAGTGACAGCGGGAGGTTTAGACTGGCAGGATTCAGTTAAGGAAGCCTTACGATACAGGCAGTCCCCGGCTTATGACTAGAGATGGACTTGGCTTGTTGGAAGGTCACTAAAGGGGACCACGTGACTCCCCCCCCGCTGGGGAAGCTGCGACGGTCCGAGTCAGTTGCCAAGCGTCCCAATTTTGATCACACAACCATGTTTCCTAAACGTGAAAACCGGTCGTACGTCCCTTCCTTCGGCACTGTCGTAGATTCGAATCGTCACTAAACGAAGCGTGGTAAGTCAAGGGATGCCTGTATCTAAAGAATCTGTGCCTGTCTGCTTTTGAAGATGGAACTTCAGAAATGTTCTTTGCCGCAGTGAACAGGCCATCCCGGAGAATCTGAGGCTACTCACCAGGAGGAAGGAAGGAAGGAAGGCAAAAACTTACCTGAAGCCACAATTGTGGGCATCTTCGGCCGAGATCACCCCAATATCGATGGTGCGGTTCCTCCAGATCCGGTTGTTGGTCAGCATCTGCACGGACAATCCTGGTTAGAGGATTCTTAACTTGGCCAGAAAAGGGAGAAAAAGGGAGCCAGCTTTTCGTCTTCAAAGGGCACAGTGCCCCACGACATCCTGGGCTGGGTCCCCTAAAATCAAATGGGTCTTCTCGCCCCCCTTCCCCCTCCATCACCACCAAAATGGAAGTTTTTAAGAAGAGACTGGACAGCCGTTTGTCTGAAATGGTACAGGGTTTCCTGCCTGAGCAGGGGGTTGGACTAGATGACCTCCAAGGTCCCTTCCAACTTTTTTTTTTATGATTATGATTATTATTATCTTTTACTCATTAAACATGAACCTCAGTCAACTGAACATTCAAATTGGCTGGCGCTGATGGTTGACACGGGTTGTTGTTGTTGTTGTTATATTATTATTATTATTATTATTATTATTATTATTATTATTATTATTATTATTATTATTATCAGTATAAAATCTCCCCCCCCCCAAGGTCAGCCGAAGCAGCCTCACCTCCTCCACCTCGTCGACCCGGACGGAGAAATTCTTCACAAATTCGTAAATGTCGTCCATCAATCCCAGCGGCATATCCTGAAGGGTCAGAGAAAGCAACCCAGGTGGTCCTTAATGGACAGCCACGAATGAACCCCAAATGTCTCTTGCTTAGCCAGGCCTTTGTTGGCCATTTTAAGAGGGGTGGGCTTCAACTCCCAGCCCGTTGTAAAGCTGCCAAGTTGGGAAAACCCCTGATCACCACCACCCTCGTCGTCGTCATCATCAAAGTTACACTTCGAAGGCAGCAAGCCGTGGTTTGCAAACTCAGCCCTGCGTTCTTCACCTCCCCGGTTCCTTCCTTACCTGATGGACGCCTCCAGGCCGGACGTAAGCAGCGTGCATCCGCGCTCCGGACACCCGCTCGTAGAATTCAAACATCTGCCGAGAGATGTAGGGTTAGCGGGCTGGCGGACAGCCCGTTAACGTTGCTTCTCCCTTGCTGGGCGCTTCCTGGCTTCTACTTAACGGAGGCCGGATCCAGCCGTCCAGCCTATTGGATCTCACAGGGGCCCGTAAAGTAGATTCAGGAACTGCTCCCAGCAGATTTGAGGGGGGGGGTGTCTCTTGGGTGGATTTACCTTTTCTCTCTCTTCAAACATCCAGAAGAAGGGGGTCATGGCCCCAACGTCCAGCGCGTGGGTGGTGATGGCCATGATGTGGTTCAGCAGCCGTGTGATTTCCCCAAAGAGAACTAGGATGCAAAAACCAGGGTTAGGCTCTTTAAAAAAAAAAAAAAACCTCTTAGCATTATCCCCTGGTTATGCTTTAATCAATTTAGTTGGGTTTCCTTTTCAAAAATTACTAGTTACTGTGCTATGCCATGCCTAAGGATTTGGCTGCTGCTATTTATTTCCTACCAATTCTTCCTCCGAATAAGCCAGGATCAGAACCCAAGAAAGGGACTCTTAAGAAGCTACCTTTAAACTAGGTTTCGCTGCTAATAGGCACCACCCTTGCAAGCTTGGAATAATAAATATAGGTAGAAAACTTCCTGACAGTTAGAACAATTAACCAGTGGAACAACCTGCCTCCAGAAGCGGTGAATGCTCCAACACTGGAAGTTCTTAAAGAGGAGACGGGACAGCCATTTGTCTGAAATGGTATAGGGTTTCCTGCCTGAGCAGGGGGTTGGACTAGATGACCTCCAAGGTCCCTTCCAACTTTATAATTATTATTATTACTATTATTACTATTATTACTATTATTACTATTATTACTATTATTATTATTTTATTGTTATTGTTACTGTTATTATTATTGTTGTTATTAATCCTCAACTTATGACCATCCATTCAAACTGACAAAAATGGTCCTCTGGCTTACGACCATTCATAGCATCCTCTCAGTTGCAGGATTAAAATTTGGGTTTTTGGCAATCGGCTGTGCCTTGATGGCAACTGCAGGCTTGCAGGGTCTTCTGATCTCCACTTAGGATCCCTCCCCCTGGGACTATTAAATGGAATAAATGTCAAATATTTAAATCACCTCGTATCCACTGAGCTCTTACGGGCGGTTGGATATTCAGGAGTTTCTCCACAGCCAGCGAGTACGCCTGCTCGTTGCACATCATGGAGACGTAATCCAGCCGGTCAAAATAGGGCAAGGCCTGAGACAGAAAAATAATGTGTTTAAAAAAAAAGTAACGGGACTTCATCAAGCTTTCAGGACTGCGACGGAAGCTCTAATCCATAAAACCGAGTTCCAGTGCATAAACTCGCCTGTATTTTTTTTGTTTTTTATGCACCCCCCTCCCCGTAGTCTTATCCAGCTTTGTTTTGTATTTGTATTTTTCTCCCTTTTGTGTGTGTGGGGGGAATTCGTATTGTAACATTTTGAATAAAATAAAAACTTATTTTCTTTAAAAAAAAAAAAGTAGTAAAATTGAGTTCCAGTCAAACGTGGGAGTCCGTTTGGGGTCTGGCCTCCCTCGAAGGGCTGTTGCTCAAAACCAGCCAGTTTTCTATCACTGCTTTGCCTCTTGATTAGGGATTTTGAGATTTTTTTTTTTAACTACCAGGTTTGAATCTCCCTGCTGTGTATAGTGGATCCTGCACTGAAGAGGGGGGTTGGACTAAATGATCTCAAAGGTCCCTTCTGATGCTGGGTTTTAAAATATATATCCAAAATGGAGCTGTAGCCTCTTGGGATAATTGCTCGGGCGGTTGCGAAACCACACCAGTGGCATGAATGGAAAAGATATATAGGGTGCCCCCCTTATCCACTTCTTACCTGGAGGTAGGTCTTATATTCTATGAGTTTCTCCGTCCCCCGGTGGAGCAAGCCAATGTGGGGGTCACACTTCCTCACGTTCTCCCCGTTCAGCACCATCACCAGGCGCAAGACCCCGTGAGCGGCAGGATGTTGGGGTCCAAAGTTGAGAGTAATGTTGGCCATTCTCCCTACTATAGGATCCCTGTCTGGGGGAGCAAAGAGATCACAGATTACTTGAGAGATGAGACGGTGAGTTCTAGTCCTGCCTTAGGCGTGAAAGCCAGCCGGATGACTTTGGGCCAATCACCAGGAGGTGGTGAGTTCTAGTCCTGCCTTAAGCATGAAAGCCAGCCGGATGACTTTGGGCCAATCACCAGGAGGCGGTGAGTTCTAGTCCTGCCTTAGGCGTGAAAGCCAGCCGGATGACTTTGGGCCAATCATCGGGAGACTGTGAGTTCTAGTCCTGGCTTTGTAGGTAGGAAAGCCAGCTGGATGGAATCCTGGTTTGTTGGGACGTGAATGAAGACCCACAGCCGCTAAAGAAGTGGCTGTGTGTATGGTGACACAACCGCAAATGGAGACACTCACTATTCCACGGCGGAGGGACCCATTTTTCTGTCACTTTGCTGGGGTACATGACGGCGCCTTCAAGCTCCTTCATAAACTCGATATCTGGTTGCCATTGTTTTCCTCTGAAAGAAGGGAAGAAAGGAGAATGGCTGAAACGCTTCGCCCATCTTTGTGCAGCTGTTGCCCATCCTCTTCCTCAAGGACAGCAAGAGACCCCTTTTAAGCAGGGGTGTTCAAACTTGGCAACTTTAAGACTTGCGGACTTCAACTCCCAGAATTCCTCAGGGCTGGCTGAGGAATTCTGGGAGTTGAAGTCCGCAAGTCTTAAAGTTGCCAAGTTTGAACACCCTTGCTTTTAAGCAGTGGGACCTTTTGGGTGGCAGCTCCCTCCCCTTCCCCATGCCAAAAACACCCTTTGCATCCAGCCAGGATTATGCCAAAACAGGGGAAGGGAGGCTTCACTTGCACTGAGGCCTCCCCCCAGCAACATTTCTCTAAAATCTAGCACTACTCTAACCATAAATGTGATGTCACGGGCTCCTATGCCTCTGAACACGTGCAGGGCGCCCTCCCCATCCTTTCTAACCGCCTTCCTAGCAAACCCTGGGAGAAAACCCCTCCCAGGTCCAATTGGGACCTCCATGAGGACTAGAAACCTGACGCATCTCTAGGAGGTTCAACCAGGCATCCTCTCCCGCGAAGGGAAGCCATTTCTTGCCAGATATAGGACTCCTTTCCTCCATCTCGGGTGGAAAAGGCGAGGATTACCTGCTGGGAGCGGCCCCCAGCGCCCTGCCGGGCAGCCACGGTCCTGAAGGTGCCCGCAGACGCCGCAAAGCCCTGAGCGCCGCCATCTTCCCACGCTGGACGTCAAAACACGCCAGCGCGCATGCGCCCGAGCCACACGCGACACTTCGGCGCCGCCATGATTGCTGTGGGCGCCGCGGGAAAGTGTTCGTGCCTAGAAGCGGAAGTGACGCCATCGCCCGGAAGCGGAAGAGAATCTGGCCGAGGCTGGAGGAGAAAAGGGTGACTTCTACGCAGGATTGTCGGAACGAGTTTCGCGTGTCGGCCAGGCGAGAATTTAAGGTTAATTTTAATGTTGCAATCTTGAGTAGAGTTGTCCATCTTCCTTTTGCAGGAGCCTCGTCCTTTTTTTTTTTTTTTTGGCCCGCCACAACAGCCCTGCGAGGTAGGCCGGCCTGAGCCCAACGTCTACCAGAGATAATCTTATATACTTGGACTTTATAGTGTGGCTGCAGACGCAAGGAATTTGTCTCTGGTACAGAAGCCCTCAATGCACTTGCAAAAATAAAATAATAATAATAATAATTATAAATAATACTAATACTAATGATAATAATAATAATAATAATAAAAAAAAATATTTCTCTTCAGTCTGGCTCATTGATATTTCAATACCAGGTGATGCACGATTTGAAAAGAAACAGCTAGAAAAAATAAGGAACTATCGTGACTTCCAAATTGAAATTGAGTGATTATGGAGGAAGAAATCAATGATAGGAGTCATAGGAGCCCTTGGAGCAATAGCCAAAGGGCTGCCTAGATACATGGAAATTTTGAACTTATTAGAGCTGATTATTCTGATTTTGCAAAAAAAAAACCCATCTTACTCGGGGCTGCCTATATACTCAAACAGCTCTTAGGCCCTTGGTTAGGACTTGAACTGTTACGTTTTTTCTAGTCCCAGACTGTGAATCAAAGATTAAATATAATATAATATAAATATCTGCCGATCCTATGTCCTTAGAAAGGACTTGATAGAGCATTTGGCTGACTGGGTAATGTATAATAATAATAACAATAATAATAAAGTTGGAAGGGACCCTGGAGGTCATCTAGTCCAACCCCCTGCTCAGGCAGGTATGTGTACAGCCAATATAACGGAGAAATAAACATAATAAAAGGGATAAATAAGTTGATCCCCCTCCTCTTTGTGGCAGCCCCTCAAATACTGGAAGGCTGCTCTCATGCCCCCACCCCCTGCCCCCGGTCCTTCTTTTCTCTAGACTAGAACGTGTGCGTGGTTGTGTATGAGTGCTTCCAGTCAGTCTTGATTCCTGGTGACAACTCCGTGATATTTTCTGGGCAACATTTTCAGAAGTGGTTTGCCTTTCCCTTCCCCCTTTTCCTGTAGACCGGTCCCAAGCCGGGCCAAACGAGTTTCGTTAACTAAGCCAGGATTCGAACTCACGGTCTTTCAGGGGCTCTCCTCGCAACAGTGTGCCTCTCTTTACAAACCCGTTTCGCATTTTATTTCTTAACGTTGATTGTGTCCTCTTTTTTTTTTTTTTTTTACAGAGCGATCCGCCAAGATGGGGAAAGAGTTCGGCAACCTGATGAAAACCAGGCACATCGTCACCTATTACCTGTCTCCCTTTGAACAAAAATTGTTCCCGAACATTTCCCACAGGATCTTAAACACCTGGAGGCGATTTAGCTCCTCGGTCTTCCGGGTGGTGCCTCGTAAGTGAGGAGGGCAGGGAAGATTTCTTTTTTTAACAGATTCCTCTAAAGCAGAGGTCCTCAACCTTTTGGGCACTAGGGACCGGTTCCGTGGAGAGAGGTTTTTCCACGAACCGGCAGGCGCGTGGTTTTGTCTGCTGCCTGCATCTCGCAAATGAGGCTCTTCTTGTTTGTGCGGACCGGTTGCTGGCATGCCGTGACCCCGGTACTGGCCCACAAACCGGGGTTTGGTTGGGGACCCCTGCTCCAAAGGTTTTTACTCTTGAGGACTAGCCCCTTGGATTTCTGAAATCCGTCCACTGATCAGTCGAAACAGGAAAGAGAGGTACACGACCGGGTGGAGAGAGATGCCTCTCCTGCCGTCACTTCTCAGCTGCTCTTATTGGGCCTGGTGTGCAGCAGGTCCCAGTCAGAGGAGAGATTTATTGGGCGTATGGAACTGTAACGTTGGGAAGGACGGCACGGATCCGCTAGTCCTTTCCTCTCCAAGGTGCAGGAAAGGGTGTGTACAGAGTGGGGATGTGTCAGCCCTTCGAGGTAGACCAGATGGGAACACCAGAGCCCCAAATACAGGGCCACAATTGAGCCCAAAAACATCTGTTGGTAAGCAAGACACTCGTTAAGTGAGTTTTGCTCCACTTTACGATCTTTCCACCGTTGTTAAGTGAATCTGGTTTACCCATGGACTTTGCTTGCCAGAAGGGGATGCTGCAATTGTCATAAACACGAGTCAGTTGCCAAGCCTCCGAATTTTGATCCTGTAGCCGTAGAGAGGGTGCGACGGTCGTAAGTGTGAAAAACCGTCCCTAAGTCCCTTTTTTCAGTGCGGTCGTAACTTGGAACGGTCGCTAAACGAAGGGTTGTAAATGTGAGGAAGCCAGATTCATTTAACAACTGTGTGACTAAAACACCTGGAATGCTTTACTTAACAACTGTGCAAGAAAGGTCATACCATGGCGCAAAACTCACGTCTCGGTTAGCAACGTCAATTTTGGGCTCCATTGTGGTTGTAAGTTGAGGACCACCTGTATTTATTTCAGGAAAGCGCTAGGTGGCGCGCGAGAGCAACAGAATTTGCAGCCGTCCTTCTCCCCGGCGACTTGATAAGAACAAAGAGCAAGGAGATAAGTGCTGAGGCCATTAAATTAATAAACACGTGATTAAAATATTAATTAACCTGAGCTAGGCAAGCATGCAAAAACAACGGCTGGGATGCTTTTTAAGAAGAGACTGGACAGCCGTTTGTCTGAAATGGGATAGGGTTTCCTGCCTGAGCAGGGGGCTGGGCTAGATGACCTCCAAGGTCCCTTCCAACTGTAAGGCAATTACTGTAATCCAGGCATTATAATGTGCGTTAAAAGCTTCAGGTTTGGTATCGTTTTGATTAGCGTAATCTATGCCTAAGTAAGGGTGAAAAACTGTGTTTGGTCCTTTCTCACCTTGTACGTGCAAGCCTAAATTTCCCTTCTCTTTTGTGTTTTTAAGAGTTTGTCATTGGGTACATGATTTACTCCTGGGCAAACGACTACAATGCAAAGTTGAAGAGGAAAAACCCAGCTGACTACGAAAACGATGTGTAAGGAGAGTCGTTGGAAAAGAAAATGTCTTTCAGCTTTTTTCCGGTTCTGAAGCTCTGACACATAGTTGTAAGAACCCTCGGATCCAATAAACCTCTTTTGTGTTCCACCCTCGGGTGTCATTCTTTAAGCTTTTTTCAGGGATGCGTAACTTCTCTGCTTCAGAAAGAATATTAAAATATCATTGTGGGCTGAACCAAACCTGGGAGGGGGAAACTTTCCTCGCAGCACCAAAATTTAAATTATTCCACCAATAAAGAATATTTGTAGCTCGGTTGAAACATTAGCACTGATGAGGTTACCTAATTGGGTAAATGAAATGTCTGCAAGAAAACCACCAAGCTCAGAGAGCACCAAGGACCCCAATCTTTTTCTTCCTCCTCCTCCTCTTCGCAAACCCCTCTCCCTTCTAGCACTGATGATGTTACCTAGTTGGGTCATGAAATGTCTGCAAGAAAACCACCCAGCTCAGAGAGCACCAAGGACCCCACAGTCCTCCTCCTCCCTTCTAGCACTGATGATGTTACCTAGTTGGGTCATGAAATGTCTGCAGGACGTTTATCTGTCCTCTATTATCTACCTAATTTCTATCTATCCATCTATCATCTATTTTTTACCCATCTATTTATCTACTATCTAAATTCTGTCTTCTATTTTCTATTTATCATCCACTGTTTTCTATCTACATATTTTTTTATCTATCTGTGTCTACTATTTTCTATTTTCTGTCTAGCTTCCTTTTTCTATTTCTCTTTTATTATCTACTATTTTCTACTATTTTCTATTCTATTACCTACCTATTTTCTATCTATCGATCCATCTATTTATCTACCTATCTATCTTCTATTTTCTATCTATCCATTCTCTTTCCATCCATTTATGAAATTTATATTAAATCGCCTCTCCCGCGGCGGCGACCGAGAAATCGTAACTTTATTTTATTTGATTTGATTTTTTGGCCAAAGGGTCGGACGCAAAAGAGAACAAGGAAACCAAAACAAAAACAGGCTCGGCTGGAAAGGCGGGACAGGCAGGAGGACACGCCCTCGTGGGCGGGGATTTAAGAGGGGGGAAAAACAAAAGAAGAGAAAGAGGGAGTGACGGGCGTCCCGCCGGACCAATCGAACGCCGGGCGTGGCGGAGTGGGTGGGTGGGATTGGGCGAGGAGAGAAGCTCCGCCCTTTTTAATTCCCTGGTTGCTCCTCTCGCTCGGCTTTCAAGTTTGCCTCGCTGCGCCCCGGCCCCGCCTCTCCTCCGCCAGGGAGGGAGCGAGCGAGCGAGCGCGCACGCGCACGGGAGAGGTGGGGGGGGTGAGGGAAAGCGGCGCGAGGCGACGCGGGGGCGACGCCACGCCACGCCGGGCGTGAGGAGGGGCGGGTCCTTCTGCGGTCCGCGCGCCCGTCTGTCAGTCCGGCCGCGGCGCGGCTGAGGGAAGGCGGATCGTCCCGCGCGCTCGGCGGCGCCATGGCGGAGCGAGGGGCGTCCGTCGTGGGCGGCCCCCGGGGCTCCGCGGCCGGCCCTTCGCTGCTCCAGCCGGCGCCCGGCGCCCCGCCGTCAATGCCGCAGCCCTCCGCGGGATCCCCGGCCCTGGCGGCGGCGGCGGCGGGGACGCCCCAACTGCTGGCCCCGCCGGGGGTGCCTCCGCCGCAGCCGCAGCAGCCCTCGGCGTCGGCCGCCCTGCCCGCCGCTGGCCTGGGGGCTTCGGCCCCCGGAGGAGGAGGAGGAGGAGGATTCGGCGGCGGGGCGCCCCTGGCTCAGGCCCCGTCGGGGTCGGGCTCGGCGGCCGGGGGTCGCCCGGTGCAAATGAACCTCTACGCCACCTGGGAGGTAGACCGGAGCTCGCCCAGCTGCGTGCCCAGGTGAGCGGCGCGGGGGTTGGGGGTGGGGGCCAGTGCCCATCATCCCCAGCTGTTAGAAGTCCTCTGGGGCGGGGGCGCACCTCCCATCATCCCCAGCCGCCCAAAGAGTCCCGGGGTGGCAGCTCCGCTCCCATCGTCCCCAGCTGTTAAAAGACCTCTGGGGTGGGGGCTCCCCTCCCATCATCCCCAGCCGCCCAAAGACCTCTGGAATGGGGTCCCACTTCCCATCATCCCCAGCTGTTAAAAGTCCTCTGGGGTGGGGGCTCCCCTCCCATCATCCCCAGCTGCCCAAAGACTCCTGGGGTGGCAGCTCATCGTCCCCAGCTGTCAAAAGACCTCTGGGTTGGAGGCCCACATCCTTCCCAGCTGTTAAAATACTCCTGGGGTGAGGATCTGCCTCCCCAGCCAGCCAGGGGCCCCTGGGGGACACCTCCCATCATTCCCAGCTGCCGAAATACCTCTGGTTTGGGGGCTCCCCTCCCGTCATTCCCAGCCGCCCAAAGACTCCTGGGGTGGCAGTTCCGCTCCCATCGTCCCCAGCTGCCCGAGGGGTGAGGACCCACCTTCCATCATCCCCACCTGCCCAAGGACCCACCTCCCATCATCCTCAGATGTCAAAAATATCTACCACCCACCCAAAGACCCCCTAAGAGGGCAGCCCACCTCCCATCTTCCCCAGCCACTCAAGGACCTCTGAAGTGGCGGCTCAACCCCCCCACCCTCATCCCCAGCCACCCAAAGACTTCCCACTTCCCATCATCCCTAGCCCCCAAAGAATCCTACTGTGGGCATCCCATCCTCTCCATCTGTCCGAAGGCCCCTGGGGTGATGGACTACTTCCCATCATCCCCAGCCCCTGAAAGACACCTGGGATGAAGAAGCAGTGATGCAACCCAACCCTCCCTCTTCGTCCTGGGTTCCCCTCTCCCTCCCTCTCCCCCTTCCCCTCTTACTGGTACGTTTCTTTATAGAAAAAGACCCCCCCCCGTGCCTTCATAGCTCTAGTGCTGATCCCTCTTTCCTTGGCGACCCCCATCTCCTCCTTGAAGTAAAGGGGTTGGATGGGGAGATGTCCAATTGATTATCCCCCCCCCCATTTGAAGCAGACTTTCCATAGATTGAGGGGAGGGGATGAGGAGGGGAGGAAGATTTGAAAGGGGGCGTTGATGACGGACAGGTGGGACCTGGGGTTTTGCTCTGTCGGGATACGGACCCATTCTCAAAGCCACAGGAAATGGGGAAAGCAACCAAGGTGACATGTTTCTTGGTTGGGGGTGGGTGGGAGAAGAAGGCTCCCCTCCCTTTGGGAAGCCACGGTGGGACAGGACCCCTTTTCAGGCTGGATGTGTTTCTCCTACCAATGTGGTTGTGTGGATGGTTTGCCTCGTCTGTGGCCATTGGGGGGGAAGGAATGCTGGCTTGTTAATTCATTGGAGACGGTCACTCTCATCTTACAACTGTTTGTCTTGGGGACCCAAAGTTACAACTGCGCTGAAAAAAGGGACAGACGGCAGTCCTCGCCGTTACGACCAACCTGCTATCTGACGTATATTTACAACCGTTGCTGTGTCCCAGGGCGGTCCCCATTTTTCCCAGCCGGATTCGCTTAACAAGCTTGCGATTCATTTAACAACTGCAGTGTATTTGCTCAACCCTGGCCGGGGGGAAAAAAAGGCGGTAAAATTGGACACAATTCATTTAGGAACTGCCTTGCTTAGCAGCAGTCGTAAAGTGAGGACTGTCTGAAGTCTTACATCCACTAGGCGGTCTCCCCGTGCTTAGTGCGAGGCCAACTGGGGTTCCTGTAGAAGAAGGTGGTCCCCAAATCTTCCTCCTTCCCAAAATATGATCTGAGTTGCAGGCTGGTGCAGTTACATCTCAGATAATGCGCTGAAGTTACTATATACTCCCCCGTGTGCAAAGTGATTATGTACTCCTCCGCGTGGTTCCGGTTACGAGCACTTCCTCAAATTGAAGGTCCTTTGTGCCAACAGGCTACTGAGATGTTCCTCTCTTGCTTAAACCACCTTCTGACCAACATAGGCAGTTGGCGAGCTACTTTATCCAGCTGGTCTGCTTGCTCCAAATAAATCTTCCTGGCCTTTTGTGCAAAAATCAGAAATTTGCTACAGTAGAAGGATGCCCTTTTTAACTGGCACGTTATCTTAAAAAGGTGCTTTTGTGAGCGCCAGCCCACTTAGAAGATGGCATTTTTAATCAGTTTTTTAATTGTAAATTCTCGGTAAGGCTGACTAGATCTGCTTTTCTTCAAGGAAGAGCTGATTCAGGTTTGTTTGGGAGAGGTGAGACAAAGTCGGCCCGTTTCCAAATAAAAGAGACTTCTGAGACCAGCGTTTCGTTAAAACTCTTCATAAATCTTATTTTACATAAGCAAACCTGTCTCCAGGTATCACCCAGTCCAGTTTTGGGTAGCTGGATACAGAGGTAGTTATATAAGCACTGGAAAAAAGATGACTTGGGGACCGGTCATTGCACTTATGACCATCCCAGCATCCTCACAAGCATTTGGTCAAAATGTGGGTGCCTTGCAACCCGCATGTATTTATTTACATCCTGGGGCCTTCCCTGCAGGCTTCCGAAAAGCAGAGGCAAGGGAGGGAGGTAAAGCCAGATTCACTTACTGACCAGATGATTCATTTAAGAGCTGCAGTGATTTGCTTAACAAAAAGGGTCGTAAGATCAGGCTCAACTGACTTAACAACTGCCTTGTTTGGATGGATGGATGGATGGATGGATGGATGGATGGATGGATGGATGGATGGATGGATGGATGGATGGATAGATGGATGGATGGATGGATGGAGAGACAGACAGACAGACAGACAGACAGACAGACAGACAGACAGACAGACAGACAGACAGACAGACAGACGCTAAAGATAGGTAGGTAGGTAGACAGACAGAGACAGAAGCTAAAGATAGATACAGACAGACAGACAAACAGAAGCTAAAGAAGATAGACAGATAGACACAGACTAGATAGATAGATAGATAGATAGATAGATAGATAGATAGATAGATAGAGACAGACAGACAGACAGACAGAAAGACAGAAAGACAGAAACAGAAGCTAAAGATAGACAGACGCTAAAGATAGATAGATGATAGATAGATAGATAGATAGATAGATAGATAGATAGATAGATAGATAGATAGATAGATAGATAGATAGGGAGATAGGGAGATAGATAGATATAGACAGACAGACGCTAAAAGAGAGAGAGAGAGG